CTGGGGTGACAAGGAACAATGGTAATAAGCTGATGGAGAATAGGTTTAGGTTGGAGATCAGAAGGCAATATTTTACAGTTAAGATAGCTAAAATCTGGAACCAACTTCCCAGGGAAGTGGTCCTTGCCCCTACCTTGGGCAAATTCAAGAGGAGGTTGGATGATCACCTGTCTGGGGCCTTGTGAACCAAGCATTCATTCCTGCCTGTGGCAGGGGGTCAGGCTAGATGATCTGTTCAGGTCCCTCCTGACCTACTATGAAACTATAAAATCTTACATATTTCCACAGAAACTTGTTTTCACTTTCATTTTCAATGACAAGAAGATCTCCGTGATTTTTCTTGCAAAAGTCCCGGGCTTGTTGCATAAACATTTTTTCCTTGCTGAAATAGTACTCCTTTTCATTATATAAAATCCATCCATCTTCACTAAGAATATATTGATCTTCTGCAAAAGAAATAATAAAACCACATGCACAGTATCTGTAATACAAATTAAGCATCATCATATAATATTTTGTTTCTTGTGACAGAAAATAAAAAGCTTACCAAATGTGTTACTTGGTTCTGGTTTTAAAGATTCTCCTGCAACATAAAAATAAAATATGAATGTGAGATAAACCAAAGGAATGCTTTCTAAATGAAATTTATTTTTAAAAGTAATACAAACTCCAGCATTGTTTGATATGATATGTTTCTGTTACAATTCATAAAGTATCTGAAAGAAAGTTAAAGTTCACAACGTATTCATCAATATTTTAAGTTTCCAGCAATAAATAGTTGCGATTAAAAGCAAATATTCACGCTATCAACCTATTGGAATTAATACATTCCCCATGCAAATTGTAGATTGGAAACTACTTTCAAATCTGTATCCTAAAATGCATTTCATGAAGCAAAATTCAAAGTTATAGACTGTTCCTGAGTAGAGAAATTAAGTGTTTTGATGTGTCTTAGGACACATTTGGTTTACAGAGCTATTTACATCTGGAAGAGCCTGCAGAAAATGGATGCTAGAAACCACCCTAATAAAGATAAACATTTTTCCAACCAGCTTGTGGTCTCTTCTTCAAGAAGACCAAGTGTGGCAATGAAAGGTCTAAATTTAATGTTGAGATTTGATTTCCCATCCTTACATTGTACCACTGTGCTCTGTTTGCCTATAGCTTTTTTACCTTTTTGTATTTGACAAGCCCAGGAATTCATATTCTCACAAAACACATCATTCCACTCCATGTCACTGTATCCATAAAATACGCCACATTTTTCATTTCCTCCATAGTTATTGGGTTCTCCTTCTGCCCAATTTTCATAACTTACCTATGAAAAAAAACACAGTTCTGTTACTACTTTCTCCTAAAGAAGAATCATGATCTAGCACTGCACTGTGACGTCCACAGAGAAGTGCTTTTATTTCAACTCTGCCTTGTTGGGCAGAGTTATAAGACTCTGAATATTACAGCTCTCTCTGGATGAGGAAATGGAGAATGACCTTACCTTATGTAGTGACTCCTTAGGGCAATTTACATGGTAATAGGTTTAAGGAGTTGTGCCTATCCCACGTAAACAAGAGACATCAGCTATGACATGCTTTATAAGGATGGAGTAAAGTAGGTTTATAACCTAGTCTTAACTACTACTTGGATATGCTGATGATCCCACCTGCAACTAATCATGTGTACAAGTATCTTTGTATCTTCATGACTTCTGTCAACTGAACAGTTGGAAAGCCACAATTTTAGGTTAGGTTATCTTCATCCATTTTATAAAACTATTTATAAATGTATGTAAAGTATGTAAAGGAGGGGGGAAACATACTGTTTGCTGTATTCAAATGAAAATTAGGAAGTTTCAAGGTGCTGGGCAACATGGCAAAAGTTTAAACAAGTGTTCTTAAGTGGAACCAATTTTGAATGCATTGTGATTGTTTAATTTGAATAAGTTGTGGTTGCCATGTCATTTTCTTAATACCATCTTCTACTGGAACCTTTCTTATCTAATGTAGGCTTTGCCATACCCACTCCATCATCTTCAGATTGGACTATTCTATTGCATTCTACTTTGGTCTATCTTGCAAAGCATTCAAAATCGTCAGCTGGAGCAAAATTTGATCGACCATCTCTTTGATGGACCACATCAAAGTCTTCTAATTAGTACTGTTTGAGTCAGCAGGATTGGGAATTGTTCATGGAGCTAGTGACATTACATTTTCCAAAGCAATATAAGAAACCAGTGGTTATAGGAAGAAACTGTAGTCTACAGTTGATACTTTACAGCTACTAAATGTTGCAACTCAAATAGACACATACACTTTGATCAGGTTCCACCATAAAGAAGCATGCAGTGGTGAGTAACAGATGCATTATATTGCCACATATATTCGCAAAAATCTTGCTGGAGGATCACATGTGGTAGCTTAGGAGGGAAGGAGGAGAGAAGCAAGAAATGGCCTTGTAAAGATTTCTAGAAACAATATTACAAAAGACAACTATATTACAAAAAAGTAAATTCCTTACTGCAGAGCCATCACTCCAAGTATATCCTTTGTCAGGATCCAAGTTGTTAAAACCCATCCAGTAATATGAAGACGAATAACCTCCTTTCCGCCTAAAGCATTGAATATAAATATGCAAAGGGAGCACAGGATATTTCATTAGAAGAGAAGGATGTGTGTGATTCACACAAGTGTCTTCAGACTTGCACCATGGCAACAAGTTTGAACGTTTCCTGTAACATCACTCTGACATTCTGTATAGATATACAAAATATTTGCTCCCTTAGCAAATTATTTAAATGTAATTATTTAATCCCCAGTATCCACAAATGAATACACTTACACTGGCTTCAAGTGGTGATACACACTTCTCTTCAAGAAAGACTACAACTGCAGAGTTACTATACACAGTATCTCAGGTGTAAATGCAAATTAAGGCCCTAATTTAAGCATGTATTTTATTTTAAGCATTAAAGCAAAAGAAGACCATGAAACCCCTCCCTGCCCCCACCCAGAAAAATTAGCAAGTTAAAATTGTTCAAATTGAGCATCTGAGTGACCAAAAATGTGCTTTAATAGTTTCGGTTTTAAAAATTAAATCCAAGGACTGTTTGTTTGATTTAAACCCGTGTAATGGAAATGAATTTGACATTTTCATATTGTAACTTTTTTTTTACTTTTTGATCAACTATAAATTGAACCTATTTTCTCTATTCTGAAGTGCCACAGTCTCAGTGTCTTTAGAATACTTCACCACTTGGATGACTGGTGTCAGTAGTATAAACCAGGGAGCACATCCACAATGGTGAGCTAAAACCACCTTTCCATCTCTCTGACTGACTCATCCCATTTTTGAATCTCTGCTACCAACTATCCCAACAAATGTACAGTGCACAGTCTAATAAATTTTCCTCAGTTTCAAAGCCCTAAGTCACTAAGCTTCAAGGCACATCTCTAATCCGGTCTTATACCTCTGTTCTGTTATCAACATCAGCTTGGTAGCCTCTTTCTTTCCCTTTTACTCCACTACATTTTCCTTGTTGTCCAACACAGAACTACCTCCTCAATTCCTGTTTACATAGCCACCTTCCCTCTTGGTACCACTTCCAAAACCATGCAGAAATACAAATTGATATAAATGTATAGATGTGCAGTTGGAATCAACTGTTTCTTGAAGGACATTTTTGTTATGTGTGTGTCACATGTCAAAAGTGAAAGAATAAAGTTGTGCAGATACTCACAATTTAACTACTACATTTTGTTCTTCTTCAGTATGGATAGCAGCCAGATCTCCTCCTACTGCTCTACAAAAATCTCTAGCTTCAAACCATGACTTTTTATATTTTCTTTCTTTGCTAAAAAGCTGCAAAATAACATATAATTAAAGAATGTACAAGCATCAGAGAAATCAAGAAATGACTATTTTGGTCCTGCTTACTCTCCCTGTCTCCCATCTAGCTGTTTATGCCAAGCCTTAACCATTAAGCTCTAACTGTACTAAAAAAATCCTCATCTATGCCATCTGGTCATTTCTTGAGTTTGGCTATTTCATCCTCCTCTTCTCTATCTTCCCTGATTCTCTATGATCCATACATTAGTTTCATGTGAATATGGTTCTTCAACATGCATCCCTCAGGATAAAAGAGCTACTTCAGTATAAATTGCTACTGGGTAAATTTGTAGTCAAGGTTTTCTTTGGATTTATCCAATGTATATCTTATGAAAACAAGTGCTTTGATCACAGACATTTAATACTTACTTTGAAGCATAAGCTACTATGGGTGGATGAAACCCATCCCTCTGGACATGAAAGTGGAGGAGCTGTTGTTGGTGGAGGAGGAGGAGTTGCTCCCTGCACCAACTGCTTGCAGAGGAACAGTGTTTTCTGTTCACAGCTCAAAACTTCCCATAATCCAGCTGCAGTTCCTGTTCTCATGACAACACAACCTGCCTCCCTCCCTTAATGAAAAAAGAGAGACAAATGTATAAAGTATTAAACTGAATACACCTAAACTTCTGTTTGAATTTAAATATACACAGGGCATAGGTTTTAGTTTTTCCTACAAATTTCACGTCACATGGAATCACACATTCTAACTGCATACAAGCAGCAGTAGCTTGTGTCATTTGAGCAACTCACACGGCCAATAAAAATCATGATATTTATCATTTGACCTTATAGAAAGCATGCATGGAATTCCACCCACAAGTAGTGGAAGTGGATTAAACCAATGATCAAGTACTTAAAGACCTAAATAGTTTAAGGGAACTGATCAGCAATCAGAACAAGCAGTGGATAGACTGCCAGCATACCTAGGTGGATTGCATTATTCTGAGTAAAAATACACCAAATTACAGTTTCAGGCTGTAACTCTTTTCTGTAGGGTTTTTCTTTTTCTTTTTGCTAGCAGGTCTTTTTTTTTTTTAATTCTGAGAGACCAACTTCAGACCTTTTTGGCCAGGTACAGACATTACACTTTTACCAGTATAAATGATTGGAAATTGGTTTATAACCTGGTCCAAGGAGGTGATCCTCCCCCTCTATATGACATTGATCAGGCTGCAGCTGGAGTACTGCATCCAGTTATGGGCGCCACACTTCAGGAAGGATGTGGACAACATGGAGAGGGTCCAGAGGAGGGCCACTCGCATGATCAGGGGGCAGCAGGGCAGGCCTTATGAGGAGAGGCTCCAGGACCTGAACCTGTTCAGCTTCCACAAGAGAAGGCTGAGAGGGGGTCTGGTGGCCTTCTATAAACTGACCAAGGGAGACCAGCAGGCAATAGGAGAGTCCCTGTTCCCCTGAGCACTACTGGAAGTAACAAGGAATAACGGCCATAAGTTGACGGAGAGTAGATTCAAGCTAGATATCAGAAGGCGCAACTTCACAGTCAGGGCAGCTAGGATCTGGAACCAACTTCCAAGAGAAGTGGTGCTAGCTTCTACCCTGGGGGTCTTTAAAAGGAGGCTAGATAGACAACTTGCTGGGGTCATTTGACCCCAGTACTTTTTTCTTCCCATGGCAAGGGGTCTGACTTGATGATATGCTCAGGTCCCGTCCAACCCTATTAACTATGAAACTATGAAACCCATAACAAAACATAAGTTCGGCATATGTAGGCTGGTTTAAAAATGGTGGAACTTGGTCTAAAATTTGTCCCCCTCCCCCTCAAAGGGCGAATGTGTTTCTGCTCACTACCCATCTAAACTACACTGCCTACTGAAAGCCTCACAATTTAGATCAATTCTATCTTTGAATGTCTGTACCTAGCCTTTGTGTCATTTTTCCTAGGTTGCTGCCCCATTCACTGCAGTACATACCAGGCATGCCTGAATTCCAGTGAGTGAACAGAATCTTGTCACCATTGGCCCACTTGAAAGTACCTTGTTCTTCTACATCTGAAAGGCCAATCCAGAAATATTTTGTGGGTCTATGCCCAATATGGGAAGTCAGAAATGCTTGTTCGTATCTGTGAGAAGAACCATTATGTACTCAATGTCAAGCCAAAATTCTTCCACAGTTTTCATTTGCATCAAATCATTCATCAAACAAAATTATTTCATCAAAACCGTTAGTAACATTATAATTGTATATTAATTTAGTTAATAGAGCTTAGGAGATATACTCATTATGCTATAATTTAGATTTGTACTTTTTTCTTTGTACTGTACAATAATGAGCACTGAAGTACATAGCAACTTGGTTGATTTGCAGGAACTTTTAAATTCAATATACAAAGACACGATAAGTGCAAGATACAATGCTGTCAGCTCCTGCAATTTTACCATTAGACTTGTGATAAGTCCCAATGCCTTAAACATATTATGAGAAAAATCTC